GCACTTTCAGGGGATGAAAAGGGCATTTATAAAGGGGTGGGGAACACTTTTCCAAGATAGATATTTTCCCCTTGTCCCCCAGTGGTTACGCCATTGGGCGGCATAGATCAAAGGAGTTATGACAGTTTTTGAAGTGGAGAAGGGGTTGCAGGTTGTTGTGAGTCTGGTCATTATGATATCTTCCTTTTTATTCTTGTCTTTATTTTTCTCTTCTCTTTTTCTTTCCTTTTCTTTTCCTCTTCTTTCTCTTTCCCTCCCTCTCACCTCTTTCCTTTCTCTTATTACCCAGCCCGGTACGACGGCTTGGTCAGCCCGGTAAAAACAGTCAGGGAAAGAGAAGGGGAAGTTTTCTCTTTCCAAGACATAAACTTCCTGAAACTTCCTCTGTTTGAAGTTTATCAGGAGTACACAACTCTTGGAATGGGTACCCTTTAAAAGTTGTTAATAATGTACTTAAGAAATTAAATGAACCTAAATGTATACATAGGCCTACTGATGATAGCTTGATTAAGATTTGGTTTAGATTGCCTTATCTAGAAAACCAGGTGAGTTCATTTTACGTAGATGTTTAAATAAGGTAAAGAAACACTTAATTAAAGAGGTAAAATTCATAATTGTATGGCCGTATAAAAATGTTTCTCATTTTATATCTACCAAGGATCAAACCCCTAAGGAGTACAGAAGCTCTGTTGTCTATCATTTTAAATGTCCAGGCTGTAATAGTGATTATATTGGTAAGACAGATAGGTGCATAATAACTAGACTTAAAGAACATTCTTCACGATCTGATAGTGTTATATTTGATCATGTTAAAAACTGTGAGGCATTCCAATATGTTTTAGGATTAGGCCTACAGGGTATACTTGAAAATGATAATGTCGTCTGTAATGTAAGTAATAAATTAGGTTTAATATTTTCTAGTACTGTACTAACATTATTGACAGCTCCCGAAACTGGTCTATCCTATTGTTTAAAGAAGCGTTCGCTATACGTAGACTACACCCTTTGCTTAACAATGGGCTCAGGGCTTCAAATGAGCTTTCTTTGTTTTTGTAGGTATCTTTAATCATTAGAGTAAGAATGTTTTGATCTTTTGTTTAAATCACTGCTGTGTCACCTATTAGAGGTAATGTTTTGATTGGTTAAACACTTTTGGTACTAGTGCATATAAGCTTGCTAATATGGATAATTTTTTCATTCCTGATGATGACATAATTAATGTCGAAATATTGAATCCCAACACGATGGCGTGTATTTCAATACTTGGAGTATGTATTATACTTTCTTATCTGTTTTTAATCAGTGGACCTTTCGGTATATGATATATAGAATATAAGCAAATATTGTGGTATAAATGTTATTCTTTTAGGTCTTATGCAGGTTAATACTCGCATGGAGTTTGATAGGTATATGCCGTGAGACTAGATAAGGTTACTCTAGATACTGTACATCATTGTGGTTACCGTATTGCGAGCAAGAAAACATTCGATATTTGGTCTCGAAATGACTGTAGTTGATTATTTGTAGGCCTACACTGCACTATACAAATTACAATAGACCCAACACTCAGAAATTTCACAACACATTAATGTGACTCTCAGAAGATATAGGCTAGCAAAATCTTGGCGTGATAGAGCTACATTCGATGATGCTATAAAATCGAAAGAGACTTTATGAACCCTCAAATGGTACTCTTCTGGAAACTCTGTGACCAATTCAAAATTCTTCCTGTGGTGACAGCAATTTAGGCGCTTTCGTGGAAACGGCTTGAATCAATTTGCGGCATTGTGGATCTATCTTATTTGCTGTTACTCAACATGTAATAGAACTACCGGAACTAAAATTGAAAACTCTAATGATGAAGTTCAAATTTTTTCCTGATCTGCTGTGAGATTTCAGTATATATAGGCTGGCTTGCACAGTGGTGGCGCCATATAGCTATAGGCCCCCGTCCCCCGTAGGGGAAGCATAGCCCCCCCCCCCCTACCCTCCCGTCGGGGAAGACGAGTAAATTTTGTCGGGGAATAAACAAATAAAAAAAATTATTACTTTCATTAAACTACTTGTGTTAACTTTTCATCAAAATAATAATAATAATAATAATAATAATAATATTAATAATTATATTAATAATAATAATAGTAGTAGTTTTCGCCGCACAACGTTAAAACTTTAACGTTAGTACCCAAAATGCAACGAGATAGCTCCGCCCCTTTTTGTAAACGAATCGAAATACGCATGCGCAAACCCGTAAATAACGTACGTCGATCACGTAAAATCCTGAAATGTAACGTAATCTGCAACGCAAGATGAATAAATTATGACGTCATCCGTTAACGTTAAGTTTAACGTCGGGCGTCAAAATCTACCTAATAATAATAATGAATAATAATAATAATAATAATAATAATAATAATAATAATAATAATAATAATAGTTCAATGAGACTAAAAATAATTTGCGTTCTGTTATGACAAATGCTCGTTTGGATAGCCTCATGATGCTTGGAATACATCGTGATAGAGGAAGCAACCTCGACCTTGACAGCGTGGTTGACAGATTTCATGCAAAATTTCAAAAATTTTACTTTCAAGAATGAGGATTTGAAAATAAATTTGATGGTTACATTGCATACTCTTTGTTTCTTGTTTTATTCAAAATGTTTTGGTTTTGGAAGCTGATTTCGACATTAGAAAATATAGCCTACATGAAGTCATATTATTTATAGTAGCTCGATGCCTATCAAATAAGTAATAAAAATTCGCCATAATTCGTCAAATATCCGGGGGTCCTCCTAGGCGGCCCCCCTGGTCCCCAGCCAAGTGAGACTCGATTCGCTCCACTAGCACACCCCCACCCCCTCCCCGTCGGGCCTTAGCCCCTCCGTCGGGCAGGTCCTGGCGCCATCACTGAGCTTGTACAATCTTAACAAAAACCCCAGATATTCTGAACACCATTGTGAAACAGGACATGTTTTCCAGATTTGGTTATTTTCACTTTCTTATCAACAGCTAATAAAGAACTCAGCTTTTGAAACTAACATTTATATGAACGTATCTTTATCTTCAAGCATCAATGGGGCAACATGGATATCAGACTTGGGGTTTAGTATTTAAAATAGACGTTTTGCAAAAAATATTGTCTACGATCGCTATTTTAAAATGAAGCAAGAAAAAGCATGTGTTTTAAAAATGCATGTTGGATGACACTTTTAAGTTTATCTGTTTTTAAGTTGATTATTGAGCTTGGTTGAATATTTGGCAAAGTTTTTGTAAATCCAACACGTGAATTTTATGATAATGATGATGATCTCTGATAAAATAGTGATGCTGTTGGTAGATGATTGGTGGATGGTTTCAGAAGTTTAAATGGACACACCACCAGGAAACTATTAAAGATATAGGCCTATACAAAGATCTGGGAAACCCTTCTCAAACAACCCAATAAACTTGTCATTTTAGGCCGGCAGACTTCTGACGAACATCTGATAACCCATATCTTAAGATTGTATATATTGAATGATAGGAAAGTAATAACATGGATGTAGAAGTGGAATTGTACTTTTGGAGGAGGTGATGGCTGGGATTTTTTGCCCAAAAAATTAGTATGCCCAGGGGCGGATTTAAGGGGTGGGGGCGGCCCTTTTGGGAGGTAAAAAAAAGAAAAAAAGAAAGAAAGAAAAAGAATAAAATGATAGCCCAGAACGCCTCAAATGTTATTTTCGGGCGTCTAGAACACAAAAATTTCCCCGGACCCCCACGCACGGTACTGTCTCGATCGGCCCAACTTTGGGCCCCGCTTTTGGCCCCCCCCCCACTTTTGGACACACCCGGATCCGCCCCTGATCACAGAAAGCATCTGTAATACTTCTAACTATTTCTCACAAATGCATTTAAGAAATAAGCAGGGTGCATTGAAGGAACAGATAATCTGTTCTCTGTATCAGCTCCCTAGTATCACTAGCAACTATTTGACTTCAGGAAATGGTCAGAGGAATCTGAAGAGGTATTGATTTGGCAACAGTTCCCAGAAATATCGGTATATGAACACGATTTTTCAGATTTAAGTCAGTTTCTTTGTGTCAACGGAATAGTCAAAAATAATTTCATACACGGTTTACTGATGTACACCAACAAAAAGACCAGCAACAGAACTGCAGAAGTATAGTGGAGCAATTACATTGGTCGGCAAACCACTTGCAGCCTCAAAGCAACCAATATATAGTGGAGTTGAGTAGCTTAGTGGTTAAGATGCTTGCCTTCTAATCCCAGGGTCCTAGGTTCAATTCCTGTGACAGTAGGACTTTTTCTCACGACTAAAAACAACTCCTCTCTAAGCCTCATAAAGAAACTTCGCTGATAAAAGCATCACATCATTTAATTTATTTAAGAGCGTCCCTGAATATCAGCCGATCTTCTGGATACGCTGGAAGGGTCACCCTCTATAAATATGGTTAAAAAAATAGGATCGGTGAAACCAGTGTCTTAAAATACTAGAAGAGAAAAAACAGAATTGCAAGATCATAGGAAGACAGTCCAGAATTCAATGGATCCAGTAGCAATCGTTGGGCAGCAGATAGGATTAGACTTCACCTCGTGCATTCCGGTGATGAGGAAATCTGAGAAAAATCTGTACAAATTTGAAGAAAATTACTTTTCTAATGGATCTGGAGGCTAATTAAATTATAAAACATAGAAAAAAAATCAACCAGTCAATTTGTTCTTTTTTGACTAACTCAACTGACATTTTAAAAGGTGTATGCTTTTGTGAGGTTATGTGTGAATTTTTTCCACAAGGATAGGCTATATGATTATGTTCCCTTGAATTAAAAAAAAAAACGATTTCTCGAACGACCAACTCAGATTTTGGTCCTCTGGAATCTCCGACATTGACATACGGTATCCATTTACAACGCATTTAATCGTAATTGTTAATTGACTAAACCAACAAGAAAACAATCCAAGCCGATTTTATGATCTTTTAAGATTTATTCCTTTCCTAAATTTATTGTATCTGACCTAGACTTAAGATGTGAAGGTTTGCAAGCAGAGTAAAATAAACATCGACCAGTGCGTAATTTAGCGACGGACGGCTATCGTTAAACCTCTTTAGGTCTCGGCATCGGCAATATTGTACTATATTACCAGCGTCGATCAGGGCAAAAATATACCTTGATAATTATTTATATATTTTTTTTTTATCTTGTCAGGCCAAATGTTTGTGGGCCAAGACAATACGCATATTGCTGTCCAGGATGGAGACTTCATCATTCTGTAAATCAGTGTATTATCCGTAAGTATATTTTTAGGTCCTAACTTTATTCTTTTTTTTTTGTACATGAAGGATATTATGCTTATGTTATGAGTGAGGAAATAATAATAATAACAATAATAATGGTGATAATGATAATAATAATAATAATAATAATAATAATAATAATAATAATAATATAATAATTTATTTATGGTTGCATTTGTTTATATTTCTGTATAAAAAATGATTTCATTATATCAAGTCGTATTGGAGTGGAACGACAACTTAAAGAGCAGTCAAGCGTAAAAAAAACAAAACAAATAGGCTACCATCATTATCTGTAGAATTGCGAAAAAAAAATCTCTTGTTTGAAAACTGCTGCGTTCACCTACCACATTCCATATAAGCGGGGTGCCATCAATCAATGTACCATGGAGAAATGCTTTCTTATCTTATAAGCAATTTTTTGTGGAAAGCACGTTCCCAGCTATTTCTCTTATGTTTATTTCATGTTGAGACCAAAAAATATGCATTTGCGACCGAGACAATGTGTTCATGAAATAAGTTATGAGCCTCAATAAAAAAAAAAAAATTTTAAACTCTCGAATTATCCTTCGAATTGACGTCACGTTATGTAACTTGTACGCTAAAAAATGTGGTTTATTTCTGGACAGACTCTCGGTTACGAAAACATGGATGGCTGGCCGGCCCTGGTGGTGGAAGGGAGTTATCAATTTAATGTCAATAGGGAGGGGATGGGGGATTATCTGGATGTCACTGCCCTTGTCATACGTTTCGTGGCATAATGCCAGCTACTGAGTAATATACGTGCTTTCCTTTTGCCATAAAATAAACATTTCTGCTGTGGATAGGCTGTACTCGCTATGGGGTATGTGGGAATTTAGAGCTTTCACGAACATTGTGTTGTATTTGCCTCATTACTAGAGGAGTCTGTCGTCGACCTGTCATATCACAGCTTATGATTTCCGTTTCTTGGAAATATCAATAAGGCAGTCTCATAAAATAATGTAGTACAGTAATGTTTTTAATGTGTAATGTTCTGCTATTGAACCGAGAGTCACGGATGCGCCCCATCAAATTCTATTTTCAGGATTCAAATTCTGGAGATTAGTATTATTTTTGATGATAATATAATGATTATGTTGGTATAATATACTTAGATATCTGGGCTCATCGGTGGATCCGTTTGAGTGTGAGAATTATTGATTCGTTATATAGACCTCTCGTATTTTTGTATCTTACTATAGTATGTATTATGTTGTTTTTTTTACTATATTTGTTCTTTTGCCTTGGATGTGTTCTACACTATTGGTAATCCTTGGAGGACATTTTGTTGTATTTTTCTATATCCTAAAATGTTGTAATAAAATAAATAAAATAGAAATGAAGCTCTGACATCAAATCCCGGTTAAGCACCTTATAGGCTAAAGCATCCAACAAAAGATAAAACCGCTTTAAGGATATTTTCTCAACAGAGGTACCTGTTCCCGACGGGGAGGGGCGATGTCCCCCGCTCGGGGAGGGGCGATGTCCCCCCGCTCGGGGAGGGGGGGGGGGGATGTCCCCGCCCGGGATGCTCAAGGGGGGAATGGGAAGCCTAATATTATAAAAATTTAGAGATTTGACTACCTTATTTTAGAGTCCTAACTATAATAATAAATAAGAATGTAATAAGATAAACTGGGATTACAAACCGTTGCCCTGTTGTTGCGCCATATCCACAATAGTGGCGGACTACGGGGGGGGGGGGGGTGCGCCGTCATAACCCCCGTCATTATCCCCTCTGTCATTATCCCCTCTGTCATTACCCCCTCCGTCATTACCCCCTCCGTCATTACCCCCTCCGTCATTACCCCTCCGTCATTACTCCCTCTGTCATTACTCCCTCCGTCATTACCCCCTCCGTCATTACCCCCTCCGTCATTACCCCTCCGTCATTACTCCCTCTGTCATTACTCCCTCCGTCATTACCCCCTCCGTCATTACCCCCTCCGTCATTACCCCTCCGTCATTACTCCCTCTGTCATTACTCCCTCCGTCATTACCCCCTCCGTCATTACCCCCTCCGTCATTACCCCTCCGTCATTACTCCCTCTGTCATTACTCCCTCCGTCATTACCCCCTCCGTCATTACCCCCTCCGTCATTACCCCTCCGTCATTACTCCCTCTGTCATTACTCCCTCCGTCATTACCCCCTCCGTCATTACCCCCTCCGTCATTACCCCTCCGTCATTACTCCCTCTGTCATTACTCCCTCCGTCATTACCCCCTCCGTCATTACCCCCTCCGTCATTACCCCTCCGTCATTACTCCCTCTGTCATTACTCCCTCCGTCATTACCCCCTCCGTCATTACCCCCTCCGTCATTACCCCTCCGTCATTACTCCCTCTGTCATTACTCCCTCCGTCATTACCCCCTCCGTCATTACCCCCTCCGTCATTACCCCCTCCGTCGGGGAGAAAAACCACAATTCTTCGATGAAAAAAAATAAATTCAAAAAAATCGATGAAATAAGCCGTTGAAACCCCTAAATTGTCATAAATATTTTTTTTTTTGGGGTGTGGGGGGGGGGTGTCCACCTTCAAAAGGTTTTTAGCGACGGCCAAAAAACGCCCACTTTTTTCTCGTCGAGAACATCAGGTTGCATTTGTACCTGGCCGGACTGCTTTATCATACTGTAGTTTCATCATGGCTTAATTGTTTTTTTTTCCCCGACCTCGGGGTTGATGACGCCCCTGATTGGGAAAGACCTCGGTCATTCGTCGCTGTTCATCATGGCCTCTCGTAATCTCACTCGTTGAGCAATCATCCCATTCTCACATTTATGTGGGACTCTAGGCACAACCAACGACAACGTTGAAAGATTATACAGTTCATTAGTGCGTTTGAAAAAAAAAATGTATGTATATATTTTTGTGTTACCTTTTTAGTCCTAATGATGTATTTCTTTGATTTTTAGCTATATGCAGCCGATCTTGCAATGGTGGGTTCTGCGCTAGTCCTAATGCCTGTATGTGCCAGAGAGGTGTACTTGGCTCAGGAGCATGCATTAATGGTGGTAGCACGAGTGAGTACATTCTTATTTATCAATTTCGCATTAGGTCTGTAACATTTTGAAAGTAATAATAATATTAAATGTGGACCGGTTCCACGAAATTTCAATTCAAAATTAGGCATATCCACCACAATTCCCAAAGTGCTCTTATGGTTATTGATGGATTATGACTTAGTGTAGGTTTATGACTTATGATTATGGCTAAGCACAATTTTATAGCCTAAATTCTACTGTTGAGTGTTCGATATGGTTGTGCTGGTTCTAGATGTATCTTAATCTGCAGTCTGCTCTAAAAAGTTGTTATGAAATGTACGTACCACTAGCCGGACCGGGACTGGGACTGAGCCAGGGATGTACACATAGTTGTGTTCCTGTAGTGCCGAGGTGTATAAAGTTTACCCGTAGATGTAATGTAACAGTGAATGTTCACTTCGGGAACGATGAATGATAGATCAGGGATAATATCTGTAAAACTGGTTCCAGCCTCAGATTGATAAAGCAATAATGAGGTTGAATATGTAAAATAGCTGTCGGCTCTCACTGCTACATCAGCCTTGATCCGTATAGTGTAATATAAATATCAGGTACGTCAACTGGTTCAATGTACAACAAGGGCTAGCTAGGCTTATTTAGGGTTCAGCCTAATCTTCCGGAACGAATATTTGTAACTCAAATTCACACTACAGCAACTCCGTCAACATGGATAAACAAGACAGAACATCAGAAGAGGACGTAAAACAAAATATAACTGATTGGTAGATGATTTATTGATAAAATCATAAGGAGCTAGGCAACACGTCTAGTCCCAAACAAAACGTAAACAAAACTCTTTTTAAAACTGTATCAAACACAACTGTAACCGGATGTTCGATTACAAAGAACTCTACAATAATTTTCATTGGATAATGTAATAAACAATATGATTATTGGCTAAATTAATATTCTACAGTACGCGCCTCACGTACAATTGGTTGTGACAAGCGTACATATACGCACGGAAATATAGAATAAATAATATCGATGTTACATTCCCAGGCCTCAGAAGGCCTGGGAATTTTACACGTTATAGTAGCCGCGGTCTCGGGTGTGTACGGCGGTAAGTGGCGGGGACTTAGCCGGGGATGTATGTTTAAACGATGCCCCACATTGCTGGGAGGTGGCCGGGACTTTCACATGCATGCAACCGTTTTGGAAATTACATCCCCAGCTAAGTCCCTGCTAGGCCCGGGTCTGGGGTTGGGGGGTGCCAGGGCTACAATTGACAATTGCATAACAGAATTCTCATAATGATAAGCCTTTCTTTGTGGCACATATTCGAATAATTCATCCCTCAAACCCTGTTATAAATTTGAATATCCATTGTGTGATTTACATGCTCACACATGTGGTGGTGCACAGCGGCAGATCCAAGAATTCAAAGTCAGGGGTGGCACCAGCGGACTCCCCGTCGGGCAGAGCTCTATCCCCCGTCGGGGAGACAAACCACAATTCCTCGGGAAAGAAAAAAATGTACATGTATTTTCTACATATTTGCAGGCTCCAAAATCGATTGAATAAGGCTTTTAAGCCTGTTTTCCACCAATGGTTAATGGTTAATGGTTTTTAATTTATGGAGCGCAAAATACAAAAAGTCTCTAAGCGCTATCAGGCAAGTGTAAAGATGGAACGGAAACCAAAACCACAAAATAAAAAAGAAGTGAAATTTGAATACCATGCCAGCACCCAAACCGAAGTATGGGGATATGCCCTCATCGCTGGCTAGGGTTCAATCTAATTGAACTACAGTCAGCACCTGTTGAGTCTCGGCCATCTCGGATTCGGGTGCCTCCTATCCTAGTTAAATCTATAAAAGCTAGCTGGCATGGAAATAGAAAAAAAAAAAATTAAAGGGACGAGAATAAGTGGGTCTTAAGTCGTTCTTTGAAAATCGTGACAGAAGGTGACTCACGAATAAATAAAGGTAACAAGTTCCACAACTAGGGCCCAGCAACCATAAGCGATCGCTCCCCACAAGACTTTAACCGAAAGGATGGACAATAAAGATTGGTTGAGTCAGTTGTTGACCGGAGGGAACGAGTGCAGGTTGCAGAACGAACCTTAATTAATTCGGAAATGTATTGTGGTGATAACTTCAACAGCGTCGGTTTGCTTCCTGAAATCTGATTGGTTGCGCATATTTTCACTTCACACAACTCCGATATAAATAAGAATGGGCATGTGCATAAGCCCACGATTTCGATTCGCGCAAATAAATTGCCCTAGTGGAAGACAGGCTTGAAACTCATAAACTGTCATATTTTCGGAAATTTGGGCATAATTTCTTGTTTACTCCACTTTTTTTATAATCTTGAAAAATTGGAGGTGGGGGGGGGGGGTGGTAGCTGGGGGGGGGGGGGTGGTAGCTGGCATCCCTAGAATCTGCTGATACCATGCAAGCAGTACCACCGAGAGGGAGCAAGGGGGAAAGATCCCCGGGGCCCAAGCTTACCAGGGAGCCCATAGATATTTTTTCAAATATAATAATTACTATCATGGGCCCCCAATAACAGCGTGGTTCCCCTAATAATAGGCCCCTCCAGATTGACAGGGCCCCAAAAAAGATTTAAACTGCCTTCTTGTAGTAAATGCATTTCACAATTTTTTCCCAGATGGGTAATTTGAAGGTCATCCTCAAAATAGAATATTGGTAACGCCCTGTCTTCTGCGTCATATTGAGCTCTTCATCTTTGTCCCATTTCCCTCTTCCATGTGCTTGGTGAATTAATTTCATTGTTAATTCTTTTTTTATATGTCACTGTGGTTTAATTTAATTTTTTTTCCAAAATTCCAATTGATGATTACAGCAGATAACCCTAACCCTGACATACTAAGTTCACCAATCATGTGAAAATGTGAAGTCGTTGGTATCAAACTATTTCCTTCGTAGACCACCGTCTGTGTAATTAACAATAGCTGGATTTCAATTGTCAAGAGAAGAGCCGGGGGGAAGTGATATTGTGTGCTATATCCTGCATGCCAGTAAAACAGAAATGGATTCTCATACCACCAAAGGGCTTCACAAGTGTTATAGGCATCCCTGGAGAAGCTTACAAGACGTGCACCATGCCTTACTACACACTAGTTTCTCTAGGCTTACAAGTTTTCATGACACACGAAATGTGTTGAATCTGTTAAAGATTCTCATGAGGAGCAACTAGAGCAACCCAGCTTCCGATAAAAATGATTGCTAAATGCTTCTGCATAATTTTTATTTTGGCATTCAAACTCCACCATCAACATATTTTAAAGGCATAGTTTAATAATAATAATAATAATAATAACCAATTCATAAAGAACCAATTCAAAAATAATAATTAAAGTACAATTTATGTATATTAATAATAATAATAATAATGATATTATTGTTATTAATTATAAATAATAATATAATCAAATTAATAAAACAATAACAGTACAAGTCTTGACTGTTAACAATGATAACTTTAATATGGTAGACTATTTAAATACTTTTCTATATTTATTTTCATTATTGCATTGTACATTTAGCTGCTGGAATTCCAATTTGTTTAAAACTTTTTGTGATGATTAGTGAAGCTGCACTCTAAATTATATGTAATAATTCTAATTCAAAATTTATGACCTAGTAATGTATTTATGTAGGTCTCCAATTAAGTCTTAACTCACAACCTACATTTTGAACATATGTTATTGTTTTATGTCCTTATTTATCATTATTGTCCTCGAATTCAAATCTGCTGTGCTAGATGGATCACCCATTACATGACAGTTAATACATAGGGCCTACACATTATAATATCTATCATCATCATCATCATCATCATCTTCATCATCATCCCCAACAACATCATCATCATTATATTGATTACTATCATCATCATCACCAGCAGCATTATCATTATAATCAATTTCAGTGTTTTCCCAATTGAAAAATTTTTACTGTTAAATTTTACCATATAAAACCAGCTAAGTGCATGCAACGTGAGGTATTGTCTCTTTTATGTGGTCCGTTCAATGGCTTCAAAAAACAATTACCGTATCATAGCCTCGGTCTGGAATCAAATGATGTTCATTTATTGAAAGAGGCCAGTCTAGGCTACCCAGGCCTAATAAGTGTTTTTTTTATTCTACAAACACAATTTTTACTGGTTGGTCAGTTATTTTTACTGGTTGGTCAGTTATTTTTACTGGTAAAATTGACGGCTAAAATGGCTTCGGGAAAACACTGAATTTTATCATAATAATCATCATCTTCGTTCATCATAATCATCACCACCATATCCCAGTAATCAGATTAAGATACAAAATGTATGTGTCTAAATAGTATAGTTTACATAATGTATAAACTTACTGTATATACATATTATACATAATGTAAGTATAGCATAATGCTCTGAACCATCACAAATCTATTTTTTTCTAGATGTATGCGAACCAGAATGTTTAAATGGAGGTCGTTGTGTAAGCAACAATCAATGCTCCTGCACCTATGGTTTCACTGGAAACAGATGTGAGACTGGTAAGTCGCTATAATCAGACACTTTAGAATTCACAAAGATACTAGTCTCTTACGACACATTCTGGGGTGTTTAGGTCATCTGAAGCCAGGGTTACCCTAGGGTCACCCTGCATAAGGTTGCAGTGGAAAAAAAACTGTTGATGACTCTGGTTCAATGTTACCAAACTTGTGTATTTTTACAAGCTGAAAAGGTGCTAAAACTGTAAACAAGCGAAGGTGTTTTACGTACTTCAGCTAAACACTGTAAATCGATGTATGAGATACATTAGATTTAGCAGAACTCAAAAGTAAATTCCACAGGTAAAAGACGACACAGATGTGAAATAACACCCACCATTTAAGGAAGTATAAATACATGAAAATTCTGCTTTCTGTAGGTTTAGGATTTGGCAGTTTGCCTAATGACAGCTTTAAGGCCTGTTTATACTTGCAATGATAACGATATGATAAAAAGCAATTGTTCATATAGAAAGTAAAAGAAATAAGAGAAGTTTTTACTCTAGGACGATTTGAGAACGATTTATTGTGTATAGTATACGATAACAAAATATTTTGACAAATCAATGCATAACGTCATAATCATAGAGAAAGATAAAATCATAGTATTAACAACGATTTTATCGTTTTTCCATGATGTCATTTGAATTGAGATGTCAAAATATTTTGTTATCGTATACGGAGTAAATCGTTATCAAATCGCCCTAGTCTAAAAACTTCATATTTCTTTTATCATTTATAATGAACAATTGTTTTTATCGTTATCATTATCATTGCAGTATAAACAGGCCTTAAGCACTGGAAATTTAATAATGATAATAATGTAGTGGCCAAGAATAATTAAACTAATACAGATTTTTGGTAGTGGTAGTGTTGGTGTATGTGTGGTGGTGGTGATAATGAAGATAGAGGTGATAATGACAATGTTGTTGATGGTTAACGATGCTGATAATGATGGTAATGGTGGTAGTGATGATGCTGATAATGATACAATGATATGGTAGTAGTGTTACTGGTAGCTGTGGATGACAGGATGGTGGTGGTTGATGATAATGGTAATAATAGATAGTGGTTTGTTTCCAATACTACAAAGAGCTACTGGGCCGAAGCCTTCAATTATGAAGCTGGCCAATAAGAAGAATTAGAAGTAGTAATGGACTTAACCCATATATTTACCCACAGATTACAGAACAGGTCCATGTTATAGAACCTACATAGGACCAGGCCAGTGTTCAGATTTGCTAAGCAATCTTCGTTGCACCAAAGCACTTTGTTGTGCGACCATTGGCACTGGCTGGGGTGTTCCATGTCAGCAATGTCCTACAGATCTTGTATGCGATATTGGATTTATAATGGATAGAGAGAGCCAGCAGTGTGTTGGTAAGTTGTAAGAAATTCCCTTTGTATCCTGTGTTTCATGTTCCTTGTGTTTTTTAGAAATGGAAGTGTAAATAAATGTTATTGAATCTGAATATGTAAAAGTCAATCAAGGTTTATTAGGTTGAAATCCAAGCATAGATGTTTCCTTCATGTTTACTTTGTTAAAGATGTACTATCTGTCATGAGCTAAAAAAAAATTCAATTCAATTACTTAACACATTGACTGCCAGACCTTTTTCCCTGAACTACCAACTTTGGAATCCCTGGTTCTACAATGTATAACATAGAATTTACAGTATAAATGCTAGATTGTTGTTTGACGAGTATACTCACCCCTTGCGCCCTCAGCAAAACCCTGTTGGAGAGTATACTCGTCGCTGGGAGCCAGCGTTTTAATTTGTATATTTAAATAAATTATTAACTTAAAATTAGAAAATTTAAGTATAATGTTATATCACCTTTTTACATGGTGACTTGAGATATTTGTGTACAATAGTTGCCATGTGTAAGCTTGGAGACTTGTTAAATATAAAATAATTAGTAGTAGATACTAACATTGAATGCATTGTATTTTTTTAGATGTAAATGAATGCCAAGTAATTCCTAATCTATGTCTTGATGGAAAGTGCACTAATACCATTGGATCATATACATGCCAGTGTGTGGTTGGCTTCAAGTACAATATGTTGACCAATCGATGTGAAGGTAAGAGTAAAAAAGTGCAGAAACTGAAGCTGTGACATTGTAGTTAAGGTGCCTGGCTTCCACTCTAAAGGTTCTAGGGTCAAATCGTATATATTGATCTTTTTTTGTATTGGTTAAACAAAATAAAGATTTGAACTTCATTTTGCTGCATTGGAACCATTGTTTTTGGATACACCATGACACCGTAAATTCCTCACTTGAAATAGGCGCTGTGCTGAAATACGTGCTCCACAAACATGGTTTTGTTTTTGCTATGTTTTGCTCTTGAATAATTGATGTGTTGCCTATACAGTATTCTGTTTTTATTAACTGTTGCAGCACTTACTTGAGACATATCAAATTGTCTTAAGAATTATAAAGTTGCAGCAAGTCAGATAGGCCTATGTACACAGATTATACCATTAGAACAATTTAAAAATTCATAAGAGCTGCTTTCTAATAAGTACATCTGTTGAGTAAGTGCCTCACTAAAGCCACCAAAAATTATACAAACCTGAGTTGTTTACATATACCTACCAACATTCAGCTGCTGCTCCTAACCATTGCCGTATAGCTTTATGTTACTGAATTTGTATTCATTGTCATTATGCTTTTGTTTATGGGTTTTTTTTGTTTCCTTTGAAGATATTAATGAATGTAGAGAACAAACAGGTTTATGCCAAAATGGAGAATGTATAAATACTCAAGGAACATTCCGTTGCATATGTAGAAATGGCTATATTCTTAACCCTAATGGAGACCAGTGCATAGGTATGTGTTTTTCTATTGTTTTTTTTTTTTTTGTATCTATGGCCTAGTTCTGACTAGGTGGATAAACCCGGCTCAACTCACGCCGGGCTGTGTATCTATAGTAACTAGGCCTTGCGCGCCACCGTGTAACTTTTCTAAGCTAAGCATTGCGGGGGTCTTGGATTGACTTCGGGTGACGAAATATGTTTCCTGGTTATGGTTCATTAATATGCAAATTCTCGCCTGGCTAATCCCGCTAGTCTGAACGCCCGGCAAAGTTAAGCCGGGCTTAAAGTTGAGCTGGACTTAACTCAAGCCTGGTTTATCTCCAAGTCTGAATGTAGCCTATGTTGTATAAGGTTAATCCATTCAGCTCATCTAATAATGTTCTCTCTATTTCTGATATATGAGGGTGTGGTGTGACATATTGAATATGTGTGACTATAGTCCAAAGAGGTTCTGCACAGTAAATAAAGATGATGAAAATCAGAGAGTGTAGACTCCTTCCTGTATAAACCAGGTCACTATGAGACTTTGGGAGTAGACAGCTTATCATATTCAGTACCCGTTATGCTCTTAGGGAGTGGATTGGAGATCATCATTAATCTAGCCCCCTCAATGTTACAGTCTATGATGCTTGGGGCCCTTGTGCATATAAGTTTAACTCACTTTATATGCAGACATGATAGTGTAATGTATTGTTTGTATATTTTTCTTTTAGCGGCTCGACTAGATTATTGTTACGAAAGATCAGACGGAGAAAGACACTGTTCCAATCCATTATTGATTCGTTATTCAATCTACGATTGTTGCTGTTTCCAAAATGGACAAGGCTGGGGACAGCAAAATGACTGTACAAGTTGTCCACTTATAGGAACTCGTTAGTAAATCTGTGCTATTAATTTCAATACATATATACCACATTTTTTGTTATTCATGTTTTTGTAAAAATTTCTATAAAATTATATAATTCTAAAGTGGTTTGAATCCTTTCTCTGGTGGAATAGAATGTCGGCAATTGTATAGATAATTATATGTATAAAATTATAATAGTGCCCCTGTTGTACAGCATAAGTAGTGTCACGTACTAATTAGCAAGATTGGATTTAAACTGGATCATGTGGTGGACTGCAGTATATATTTTTTTGCAACTGTGATTCCCTCACAATGTGACCTTTCTTGCTGTCTCTTATACACATCTAGATGTGTATAAGAGACAGTTCCT